TTTATGAATTGCATGAACTCCGATAAACAGTCAAAAAAAGCAGTTGATAAATTACGCTTTTCCCATTTATTCAGTATTGATTGAAAAATGTTATCCCCACAGTCAGTTTCAAAAGAAAAGATGTATAAGTTTGTTATATTCTTGCTTGATTTTATTCCTTTTAATGGTGTGAAACTTGTGCAGCAGTTCTTCATCACATCAGCTGGCAGCCTCATTCCAAGTGAGGACCGGTGTCAGACAAGGTTATTTACTTTCTCTCTTCCTCTTTCTTCTGGTGGTTGACTAGATTATGAAGACCTCCACATTTCAGGTGGAGCACGGAATACAATGGATAGCTTCCATCCAACTAGACGATTTGGACTTTGCAGACGATTTAGCTCTTCTATCCCATACACACCAACAAATGAAGACAACTAGTGTAGCAGAAGCCTCTGCATCTGTACGCCGTAACATACACAAGGGAAAAAGCAAGATTCTCAAATACAACACGGCAAACAGCAACCAAACCACGATTGGTGGATGGGTTCCGGAAGATGTGGAAACGTTCATGTACCTGGACAGCATCATCGATGAACAGGGATGATTTAATGCACACGTAAACGCAAGGATTGGCACAGTAAGTACAGATCTTTTGTACGCGGCGGAAACTTCCAGAACTACAACAACCATCATCAAACAAGTACAAGTATTTATGAATAATTGTCTACAAAGTATACTCAATGTCTGTTGACAGCATACCATCAGCAAACATCTGTTATGGTAGAGAACAAATCGGCTTATAGATGAAGAAGAAATTAGGAAAAGACGCCTCAAGTGGATAGACCACATGTTGAGGAGTTCATCCGACTTCATCACGAGGCAAGCACTAACTCGGAATCCTGAAGGGAAACGGAAAACAGGAAGACCAAGGAATACATTACGTCGAGAATCGGAAGCAGACAGGAGTTGGATGGAAAATGTTTGTGGGCGGCCTATGTTCCTCCACGAGGGGTAACATGCGTTAGTAAGTAAAATTTCACATTAGGTTTTATTTATTTGTAACTCTCTTTAAACCGTGACTGACTAGGTCTTTTCTGTGATTTTGGATTCTGTTATATTAATACAGTTTTCATTATTATAACTAGTATTAGTTTATCTTAATTTTTTTAATTTTGGGTCAAGGGTCAAAGTTATTTAAAGTGTGAAGAAACTAACAGAATCAAATACAAGGTTAGATAATTAGAAAAGCTGAACCGACTCGAATGACATTAGAAATAATAATGATGATTATATTGATGACTCAGTCGCTCTCATATGGACTCATATATGCCATTGTTCTGGACAATTTGCAATGACCTTGCCCTTTTGAAGACAATTTGAAGGAAAAGTCAATGATAAAAAAAGATAAAAATGTGCAAATAAAGAGAATCTATGAAATTCATTTATAGATGAGAAAATAACTGATCTGATTGTAAAAATGTACTTAAAGGTCATTACACCAATTAATGATTGAAGTGTACATTGATATGATATAGATTATTAAAATGAGTCAGTTGCAACGTACTATCAGTATTTAGCTTGACTTTACGACAGGAATTCTGGAAGAAATAAGAAAATATCTGCACATTCAGTCTCCAGTTACATTCCTGTTTAGTTTTCAACATCGAAGTAAAAAGGGTAGGTTTTGAACAAATTTTCCTTCTTATTTAAAGGCCCGAACTGGAACGAAATATATATCCAATGGTCAGAAGTTCTTACTGTTCCTCTGATGGCTACGAGTAATTACGAACAATATGAAATATAATTTCAAATAAGCTATGCTAAGTGAGGACTTTAGCAATGATAAACGTACAGCAAATCATTTTTAAAAATTGAGATCATGAATCGACCAATGTTAAACCACCATTGAAAACACCTGTAAGCACTGGACGGCCGTTTCGTTATTGTTTTATTGCTTCCACGTCCAAATATCAGTCGGGTCAGATTTACAGTGATTTATTTTGAGACTATTTGATATTGTGAAAGGTTTTATGTTGATAAATTTATTTAGTTTATTGGCAAAATACATGAGCTAAATAGGATACTGTTAAAAATGAGCAAATATAACTCACTAAAATAACCATATTTGTTGATCGTACCAGTTTAATTTTATGATTTTGAGCGTACATTCAGTCATTGATACTAAATATGACCAGTTCAATTTATTTAAAGTTGACTGTTGATCAGGTAATTCTAATGTATATAGCTCAGTGTATTTAGATATAGTTTTTCATCTCTTTTTGATAAATAATCGACTTTCATTTATCTTCTTGCTTTCTTTATTGTGTTATGCGAAACATAGTTTTCTGTATCAAATACCAGTTTCCTGAGGTTACAACAGATGCAGTGATTAGGTGAGTGATATTTCTCGGATATTTAATTAACGATATCGTATTAGGATACTTGGCATTAAATGCTAGTCAAAGAAAAACTTATTTGGTATTAATTAGATGCTTTCATTGTAGGCCAATAGTTAAACCCAGTATGCAATCCTATTTATTACGAAGCCTGTAATAGTAGACTAACCTCACCTTTTAACAAACAATAAGTATTTGAATTTAAATCTTACAAGTAAGCTGGATTGCTTCAAATTATGCTTTATCTTATTTCAGAACATGAGTTAACAATGAACATAGAGTATGTTTTCATAACCGAGATGTAAGTACAGGTTAGTAATTTTTCTCACCAAACAATCACTTTGACATTTGATTTATGTAGTTTTTAGCTTGTACTCGGTTTTACTTATTTATTTATTTTTACACATAGATATTGGTACAACGAGGCACCAAATACATATGCACCACACAAATCTCATTCGATATGTGTGAGGGCTGTGATACTGCCCGGGTGCCCAAACCGAAGCAGGTGGTTTTCTTAGGGAGCCACTCCCCGAGCCTTCGACCTGAAGGTCTGATCCACAAGGCAGTGGAGTATCGTAAGGAGATGCAGTTCCATGGTAGTCGGTGACCAACAATTGGTTCATACGCCATTTGTTCCTTTAGGATACTGGAGCCTATGTGCACCTTTGGTTTGGAATGAGGGTTTTCCAACTCTCCTAGATGGATCCTCTATATCCACCAACCAAACCGGTTAAAGCGCCGGACATTCCCTTTTTGTCCTCTCAATTTCGTAAACAAAATATCAGCCACGAGAAGGCAATAAGTAGGAATTCCCTGGCAGAGGCTATATACGCGTGGCCATGTGAGGGCATTTCAAGAGGGAGAGCGGACTCTCTCCACTCTCGGCCGTACCAGGGCATTTGAGGGCTTTGTACTCGGTAACCATTAGCTTTAAAATGATAAAGTACAATATCTCTTACCACGTTTTAGTCAGCTTTACACGTATATATATATATATATATATATATATATATATATATATATATATATATATCAGTGTTATAGTGTTTGACTGTAATCTAAATGCAATATATTAAGAATGGGAAAAAAGAATAAAAGTCTACTTTGAACTAAAACCATTGGATTACGTATGTCTTAATGGATATGAAAATCTTTCTTACAGATAAATGAATTTTAAAAGCATATCTAGAAGAAAAATGGTTATAATCAGTCATTAATTTATTGTCTATCATATGATCAAAGTTTTCATTGATTTTTACGATACTAGTTATCATTTATATGAACAATGAGTTAGAAAAACTGTTTATTATTATTCTAGATGATTTACTTGTCTACTCCTGTTACCCCTTGTGGAGGAGCATAGACCGTCAACAAGCACTCTCTATCCAACCCTTGATGAGATAACTCAATAATTATCCATGATTAGTGGAGTCATTTGGAACAAGTGTTTATGAGTTAATGAATTTTAACATTCGTCATATTGCTATTTATTTACTTTACATTCAAAGTAGAAAAATGTGTGGTTTGGAATAAACAACAGATGGTACTTTTATAGTCTTCCTGCACAACAGGTTGATATTTTTGTAACGCATTGCAAGCATAACTGAATATATGTAATAATATATAAAACGTCAATTTTGAAGTTAAATTACCAAGTTGGACAAACTGATATTATATTCAAGAATAATTATAAAATTAGACATTTCGGTGAGACTATAATTTATGGACAACCCTTGAGCAAGTCTAAAATGACCTTGAAAATGTCAACCTACTAACTAGGACTAACCGAGTGTTGTAAAGCAGTGAGAGGAATTAGACTTATAATTTGAAATCTATGGTTAGGGTTAGGAACTAGATTTAAAGTTTTCATCACGAACTGACTTAAGCTATGATGCCGAAATAGTATTTAGTCAAATGATTGGATGAATTTCGCGCTAAAATTCGAAACCTGTTATCTCAAATCTGATTAGTTTGTTCATAAACCATAGTCTCACCGACATTTCTTCCAATAGTAGACAATTAAAAAAAACTCATTTCAAACACCATATTTATTAACTTGGTCATATTCCTTTTAAGTCAAGTCGTTAGCAGTTGTATAAGCTGAGGAAACTAAGCAGCCAGTACACTGAAATGTTAGATGTATTTCGTATTTATATGACGCGAGCAGATCTGAAATTTAAGACCTATTAAGCTGTTAGCTTCTAATTCTCCAATAATCAGAATAGTGAATTGATAGTTAGTCAAGTTTTTTAATATGCTTCTTACAACATAAAGATAAATGCCTGTTAAGATGGTGTTTAGCTAATAGACTCAATGTCAATTTCAACAATGTTGAGAAAAGACAACATGGGAACAATGAATACTACCACTATAGTTTTCCATGAAATTTTTTTATAGAATTAGAATTACTTAAAAGATCTAGTTGAGAATCATAACAGATTAGTTCAATGACAATCTTCAGAAGATTTATGAACTGAGTGAAAAAAGACATTTATTTGTCTGTTTTTAGTTTGCCTAAACCGTATTTTATCCATCAAATTTTGTGAGTTCTTAGCAAATATAATGATGAATTGTAGATAAGAAAACAGTAGAATTCTAACATAGTTTGATAAAAATGCTTACTTTCATCTTTTTGGCATAAATATTGGTTGAGCATACTGTATGACCAATATGGGATAAGCATTCATGAGGAGAAGTACTGCTTGGTGTGTACAAATTAGACGTAGTTACATCACTGTGATTACTATTTGTGTTATAATAATTATGATCATTGTTATAATTCCTTTCGTTTGAACTTAAGCACCGTAGGCAAACAAACATTGAGCATGTTATACAATATAAATTACAAACATATCCTGAGTGATGTGTACATGTTGGTCCAGTTACTTCTGTAATAATCTGTTTTGATGAATACAATAAACAATTATGATTATTAAACGATGTAATACGATGTTTAATTAATATTTCAGTAGGTGGATGCCATAATTTTAGGCATGTTTTACAATACCAAAGATTACATTGTTCACAAAATGATAATGTTAAAATCTCATTTGATGATTCACATAATTGACATCTTATTGTAGATAGACTGTTATTATCTTTTTTAGTAACTCCAGAATTCAATGTTGTATCTATATCACGATGATTCACTTCAGCTCTAGTTATTCGTGTAATTAAGTTTTCCAAAGCTATATTATGAGGTAATATTTCACTTGATAATATTTCATTATTTTCATTTTCTAAATTTAAACTTGTAAAATTATTAGTCTTTTTGAATGAATTATTACTACGATTAGTACTGCATATACGACATAATTCTTGTATAGAATGAGTACGATTAACACTTTGAGGTGAATATGATGTTAACTGACAATCATTATTAGATTCCAAACTACAAACAACTACACCAGAATCAGCTTCACTAATAGCATCTTCAATTCCAATAGATGAAATTGTTTGAGTAGCTAGATAATGAGTTTGATTATTAGTGACAATTGATGATTTGGTCAAAGTTCTACAAAGTTTACTCATACATCCAGAACAAATAGAATGTCCACATGGAAGTAAAAGAGGAGTTTGAAAGATTTGATTACATAATGGACATGTAATTTCTGGCTTCAATTTCGATGAGATCATTTCCATTAAATGTATCTTCCTCATACCATTATACTTTCATAACAAAAGATTGAAGATATTAATCTGATTGGTTTATTGAAATTGACCAATCATAAAGCAACATTCGAATTAATACAAATGTCCAATAAAATATGACATTGGACAATGTAACATTCCGTATTTCTAATCCGTGTTTTTCTTTTTTCTTTCTTCTTTTTCTTTTTCTTCAATTCTTTTGAAAGATAATTCTTTCCGCTTTTCTTTGTTTTTTTTTCTTTTTTAAATTCATGAATTAAAATAAAGTTTTAAAATCAAACTTTATGAAAAATTAATTTTAAACCGGATTCCGATTTAAAAAATTTGTTTTATTTAATAAATCTGTTCTAATAATAATGACAGGAAAGTATTCTTTCGGAAAATTATATTCTTCTTTTGCTTTTTTTATTTATTAGGTAGACATATTTAAATGAGATTTAATGAAATATATTATAAGTATCATTAAGATTTTGTACAATTTGTTTAATTTTTAGAATTTCATTTAATGACATTCGTTTTTCCTTTTAAAATTGTATATCTCTATATTGTTTTACTTTTTCTTGTATACCGTAAAATCGATATATTTATGTTGAATCAAATCATTATTTAAAGAAGAAAGTTTTCAGTTTGTGAAATATTTGGAGTGGAGTTCAACCAGGTCTGTTGTGAGATAGGAACTCACTGAAGACAATGGTGTACGGTGGCGCAACTTCGTGGATTGGTTGAAGTTAGACATTAACACCGTTGGATGCCGGCTCAGTGGTCTAATGGTTAAGTGCTCGCGCGCGAAGCCAGTAGGTCCTGGGTTCGAGCCCCGCGTGGTGCGGGATCGTGGATGCGCACTCCTGAGGAGTCCCATACTAGGACGAAACGGCCGTCCAGTGCTTCCAGGTTTTCAATGGTGGTCTAGCTTCAACTGACTCATGATTTCAATCTGTGAAATTTCTAAAATCTCCACAATACCCATTCTAATAATATATGATAATCAGTGTTATGAAGTAAAAATCCACTGATCAAATACTGCAATGATCGATAATAATCAAATTGTCACTGTTCACCAAAAATGTATATGATTTCGGGTATTAATAATGTCTAAATGATATATGAAAAAATATACATGGAAAACATTCAAGTTTAAAATTGAACTTATAGCAACTCACGTGCAATTGAGTTTGCTCTCATTTAATTCAGTTAAGCCCTTTCGTTAACTTATTTAGCGGACAAAGTCATCCGTACTATACTATAACAACTTATTGTACCTTTATTATCGTTGTGCTCGTATGAAATATGTATGCTTGAACATGTCTTACCGCCTACTCATATATTCATTCTGCTAGTTTTATTATTAACTGCTTAATTGATTCGATGATCCATTTATTTCCCTATATATATAGATGTAGATTTAACACTACACTCTCGGTTCTCTGACTCACTCATTCGCATCATTGCTTTGTGGTTTGAGTTATCTGCTAATAAAACTGTAGTCGCTACTTCTCTTTGCCTTCTGATTTCAAACACCGTTGAGGATTATATGATAACGGTTACGAGAGTGATTGGTTAACGAAGCACAGCCACTACAAACTCAATTTAGTATGCGAATATTGAAATAAGAGATGTAGACCTTTATTATTATTACAATATGGTATATAATTACCAACTTAGAGATTTACATTCTATTATTAAGTTACAGATGAATAAAGTCAATTGAATTTAGTTAACTTTGTTAAATAAGTTATTTCATAAAATTTTCATTTTAGATCATGTACATTCTTAGTTTTATTGATTTCCAATCAAATTTATAAATCAATAAATTTTAGATCTGATTACAATTACAAAATGATCATCATCACATCAATCAACATAGATTTAATATTATAATAGAATGAAAGCTTATTCTAGATGAGAAGTATTCAGATTATGAATATTATATTACTTACTTACTTAAGCCTGTTACTCCTCGTGAAGGAGCATAGGCCGCTCACCAGCATTCTCCATCCAACCCTGTCCTGGGAAATACTTTCTAGCTCCTTTCAGTTGTAATTCATCCTTTTCATATCTGATTCTATTTCCCGACGTAATGTGTTCTTTTGTCTTCCTCTTTTCCGCTTCCCTTCAGGATTCTAAGTCAGGGCTTGCCTCGTGATCCAGTTTGATGATGAATATTACAATGGATATTATATTACTTAAATAAATTATTCTTATGTTGATTGATAATTAAATTGATTTTATTTTCTAATAAGAATTTAATAATTTGATAATTAAAAGATTAATTTTTAGGTGATAAATTGAACAATAATGTGATTTTAGAATAATCAATTCAGAGAAATTGTATAATAGTAGATAACATAAATAGCAATTTTTTTCACTAAAGATAGATAGTAACTAACATTGGAATCTAGTATGCACGTTTTATCCTATTTAGGACTCATCAGCTGGATATACTTGCATTACAGAGTTGATATTTACTCCGGGACTCGAACCTAGTACTATTCGTTTCAAACACCATAATGTTATCCACTTAGCTACTGAGTTTTGATAGTCATTCGCTTGTGCAATGGAGTGAAGTTTTAAATTCACTTAAATCTTCCCATTGATGTTTAAGACTGTAATTGTGTTAGGAACGTTAGATCCCCAGAACTCACTTGGAAAAGGTCCTAATTTTGTAATTTTATTTTGAAAATTTGAATTTCTTTGTTTTCGCGCCAAAAACTCTCACCTTCATGTCATATTTCGCACTTGGGAGAATCTTAAACGTTATTGGTCCGTTGTGTCTTTTAGTATGCTATTTTGTAACCCTTCCCAAGGACGGTTTTGTGCTGTATATATACGTTTTGATTTGTGTCTCTTGTTATCACTCGTGCTTCTGGTGTTTTCCAGAATATACTTCCCCGTTCGGACTTCGACTTCTCTCTCTAATTAGCGGGTCTGGGACGCAACAGAATAGCTAGTTTATTGGTCTTTGGTCACAAGTCTGTTCCGTTCGCAGAATCAGTGAATTCGTAATCCATCCAAACCTAGCAAATTGATCAGTCTCTTATTGGCATAAGTGTATACTGTACGTATGGCCTCGATAATACACCTTTAATCACTAAGATTATAAGCAAAGATGGATAGTGGATCGAGGCGATCTGTACAGGATCTATAAATGCCAATAAGAGACTGATCAATTACAGTTCTAAACATCAGTCAGAAGATTTAAACAAACAATACGAAATGAATTTAAATTTTTTTAAACTAATAATCGGTTTCTGAAGTATACAAGGTATATGTTATCCAAGACTTATGATAAATACATGTATAACAAACAAAAGCAGCATATACTTTTACTATCTAACTATCATAGGTCCAATATTCAATTGACACTATTTGCTCAACTGATGAAGTGATTATAATTCGACATCGAATTGCAGATGAGTTAATTTTTATCTTTACCAAAACTACAGAATAATCAAGTTATTCTCAATAAAGTATTTAGAATAGTTAAAATGGTTTTGTATAATTTTAATGAAGTAACTCCGCCTGTAGCTCTTCTAGAGTTGCTGCCAGTCCCAAGCCCGGGTAAAGGAGGAGGGTTGGGTATGGGGTTAGCGTCCCCATCCCGTAGAAAACTAACTCGCTAAAAAAACGCTTACCAGAAAAAATTATTCAAACCATTTTAACTCTGCCCTGAAAGTTAGAAGGTCTTCATTTAGAAGAATTATGACGCTTCATGGTGAAAGCCGAGTTCCTTCGGAAGCCACGAGGCCGATGCCCCTTCTAACAACCAGATCAACAATTTTTATAGGTACACGGAACGTCCGAACAATGTGGGAAACCGGGAAGACCATTCAAATAACAACTGAAAAAAAAGAAAGAAACACACACACATACAACAACAACTTTTGATATTGTATTTCTGAAATAATAGAATAAAACAGCACTAAAACTATTTTCATTCAGTTCTAGTTTTTAAATCAAGAATTTGTCTATCGCAGTTACTTTAAATACACTTAGTGCCAAAGTGTTTATGTAGTTTGAAATTTAAAAGATTTAAATTTTGTGTTTATTACAAAGTAATGACTAGATTAGATTTTGTAAACATTTTAAGTAATACGGTCACCTAGGAAGGGAAAGAAAAAGCCTAATATTAATATAATCATTTATTTGATATAAAGTTGTGTATATAAATGAATAGTTTACAGTTTTCTGATAATTATGATCATAAATTCAATAAACGAATTTCTCTGTTGTAAGATAATAACTCATTGAAGAAAATAGTGACTCAATTTCGTAGATTGGTTGAAGTTAGACATTAACACTGTTGGATGCCAGACCAGTGTTCTAATGGTTAAGCATTCGCGCGCGAGACCGATAGGTCCTGAGTTCAAGTCTCACGAGGCGGGATCGTGAATGTTCACTGCTGAGCAGTCCCATACTAGGACGAGAAGGCCATCCAATGCTTCCATGTTTTCCATGGTGGTCTAGCTTCAATTGACTTATGAATTCAGCTATAAAAATTTCTCTGTGTTCATTTTTTGATTTATCCAAATAAATTACAGTGTAGCGGTAAATAAATCCCCAAAATAAATAGCTCTGTAAGTTTTCGACATTGGATGCTGACCATATGTTTTAGTGGACTCATCTAGCTGAAGGCACTCGGTCATGCATCCGCACCAGATCACGTGTGGTAACGCTGTGCTCAACATCTACCGCAATCGCTAGCCAGATTAGATCAGAGAATTCCGATATATTGGTAATCGCCAAATACACTCTTTCGATCTCCTTGACTCTGTCCTTTGCTTTCTCTTGGTGGGTACGAATTATATTAGGTGTTGCTGGTAAAAGCGTTGCCAAACACTGAATACCTGTGCCATCTTCAACAGCATCAACTTGCGTTTGTTTAGTACCATTTGCCATATTGGACAACTGTTCTATTTCATATGAAAATTTTCAACACTGTATGTTTATAGTTTTTTTTCCAAGTGAGTTGATCAATGATTCTCTTAGGGTTACAATCTAATCATAATCAACATTTTAC